GGGTGCGAGAGGAGACCCCCCGGTCCCAGGACCCCCCCGGTGCCGGCGGCCCCAGCGCCCCCCGCGGGGTCGGGGCGGGCCCGGGGCGGGGCCCGGCGGAAGGGGCGCGGCCGGGCGGGCGGAACGGGCCGGGGGAGCGGGCGCAGCCATGTCCTTCTGCTCCTTCCTGGGGGGAGAGGTGTTCAAGGACCACTTCCAGCCGGGTGAGCGGCCCCCGGGGATGGGGTCGGGGGGATCCCCCCGCGGGGAGGGCGGGGGGTGTCGCTCGGGGAGGCGGAGCCCCTCGGGGTGAGGGTTTTTGGGAGGGGGGTTGGGGATGGGGGTGTCCTTTAGCGGAGCATCCTCCGCTCGTGCGGACCGCGCTGGGGGTCCCCGCTCTGGGGTCATTGCTGGGGGATCCCTCCGGTGTGGGGGGGGGTCCCGATAGGGGCTGGGAGTGGGGTCGATCCCTGCAGAGGTTCCCTGGGGGGATCCTGTCCTGCGGGGACCCCCATGGGGAAAGCGGACGCCCCTGCCTTGCCCTGGGGGGTCTCTGGGGGTCCGGCGGCAGCAGCAGCTGGCACCGACCCACGCGGGCAAAGTCCCACGCGGGTGTCCCGTGTCACCGCGCTCACGTGTCACCCCCCCTGTCCCCCGTTCTGACCACTCTCCTGCCCCCTCCCCAGGCATCTACGTGTGTGCCAAGTGCGGCCATGAGCTGTTCTCCAGCCGGGCCAAGTACGAGCACTCCTCGCCCTGGCCGGCCTTCACCGAGACCCTGCGCGGGGACAGCGTGGCCAAGCGGGAGGAGCGCCCGGGGGCTCTCAAGGTGCCCGTCCCCAAACCCTCGGGATGCAGCGACAAAACACCCACGGGCTCGTCTCCCGTGAGCCCGGGCTGAGAGAGCCCGACTGCTGCCAACCCTCTCCTTGCTCTTCCAGGTCACTTGTGGCAAGTGTGGCAACGGGCTGGGCCACGAGTTCCTCAATGATGGGCCCAAGCGGGGCCAGTCCCGCTTCTGAATATTCAGCAGCTCGCTGAAGTTCGTCCCGAAAGGTACCAGCGGTGGCTTGGCAGCTGCTCCAGCCCGTGCAGTGATTTTTGGGGAGCTGCTGATAGCCCGGGCAGGGTGTGCACTGCACTGCTTTCGGCAGGGCGGCTCTGGCTGTGCTGATAAGCCAAGGAGCTGCTTAGGAGCCCTGAATCAATCTCAGGCTGCTCAGCTGGAGGAGCTGGGTGTGACTGGAGCTCCTGGATGTGACCATGGGTCTCTGTGGGTCCGAGGGGCAGTTCAATGCTGGGGGGTTTCTGCTGGGGGAGCAAAGTGAGGGCAGGGAGCTCCTGTGGTGGGGCTGGGGAGGTTTGCTGTCACTTCTTAGGGAAGTTATAGAATCCTGGAATGGTGAGGATTGCAAGGGAGCTGAAAGTTCATCTCATTCCAACCCCCTGCCACGGGCAGGGACACCTTTCACTATCCCAGGTTGCTCCAAGCCCCATCCAGCCTGGCCTTGGACACTTCCAGGGATGGGGCAGCCACAGCTTCTCTGGGCAACCTGTGCCAGGGCCTCCCCACCCTCACAGGGAAGAATTTCTCTGTAATATTCAGTCTCAGTTTCCCCTCTGTCACTTTGAACCCATTCCCTCATGTCCTGTCACTCCATGCCCTTGTGGAAAGTCCCTGTGCAGCCTCTTGTAGGCCCTTTAGGTACCAGAAGGAAGTTGGGTGGGAGTTGTGACTACTGCAACCCTGTGGGTAGGGAGCAGGGCTGTGGGAAGGGCAGGCCTTCTTCCCATTGCTGATTGTGCTGTTTGCTTCCTCCAAGGCAGAAAAAGGCCTCAGGAGGCCAAATTTTGAGCAGCACCCTGGGCACGAGCTGCTCTGCTGCTTGTTGGACTGGGATGGTTGTGAGATGCTGTG